ATATATATATATATATATATATATTTGATCTAATCCTAGTGTTTCTCTTGATCTCTCAAGGTGGCATGAAATCTGGCTGAAGATTCGACAGGAACCGTCCCCTCGCTCCCCCGCTTGCAAAAGCAGCTGCTTGCCGGCGCAATCGGGGTGCGGGGAGATTGGGGGACGAATAAGGAAGTTAGGGGAAAAAACTATAATTATTTAATCGATAACAACAACAATAAAAAATTAACAGAACAGAACAGAACAGATTCGAACAAAGGAAGGAACGAGATTATTCCTCCTCCCTCCCCCCCAACGGTACTCGCTCCCCGATCAGCATCACCATCGATTCGCACGTCACTTCAATCTTTTTATTTTTTTTATTTTTTTTTCCTCACATCTATTATCACAGAAGCCGTTTCTTTGTTTGTTTGTTGTTTTTTTTTTTTAGGAAAATTTCGATTCACGTTGGCATTCGTTAGTTTTAAATTTCATTTAATTTCTTTTCCCATAGATTTGGTTTGATTTTTAATTTACCACCCCATGGGAATGAAAAAAAAAAATAATCAAGGATTCGACGATGGAAACTAACGAGAGCGAAAGAAAAAAAAAAAAAGGGATTAGATGATGTGTATTATTTTGTCTTCTCTTGAAAAAATTTCAATAACAAATTTCTTCTCTATTTTGTGTTCTTCTTCGTAAATGATTCGCAGAAAAATGTCTGTTATCCAACGACATACATGATTATCACAACGTCGCACAAGGAAAAGTTACGATCCCCAACGTTGATGACGGAGAGGAATGTCAGCTTACCGACGTAAGTCAAATTAAAAGATCAACGACAAATATCAATTGTCGTCAAGGGTTGAACAAAAAAGATCCTTACATTAGTCTCTTTTAATATATTTCTATCAATTTCTTCTTATTATTCTGTTCTCTTTTGTGAGTACCCCCTCTCCGTTCCCCCCCCCCTGAACCCCTTGAACACCCTGAACACCCCCAGTTTTCTTCTCGTATATCCGATCCGAGATCACTTGGATTATACCATGTTGGATCTTACGTAATTTATTGTCATACGTATTGTATGACATTTGTATTTTGATATTTTGTAGATAATATATATCCAATTGTTTGGTAGTACCCCGTAAAAATTGTTAAATTAAATATACTCGTTAGAAATTCTTGCCCCCCCAATTTTCTTATTTATATATATATTGTATTTAATTATATTTCTATTTCTTTACTTTGATTAACTCATTCGTAGTAAACGTATTCGTATAACGAACCCCCATTATATATATTATATGGGGGTCGCTTGTAATGAAAGGATTCATTTCTTCATTAGTTTTTTTTTCCTTTGACCAGCCCCCTCCACCCATTTTCATTAGAAAGTAGTACTTTAACTTGGATAGTGTTGGAATATCAATGAAATTCTTTTCAATTATTTATTATGATCATTATCTTTTTCTAAATCAAAATCAATTTATTTTTATATGAATTATTATTATTATTATTATTATTATTATTTCAATAGAATATCGTTGTTATTTTAAACAATGTTTACGTTATGTTCAATTATATTCAATATATGATCACAATTTGGAATTAATTTTTATTTGAAATACGTGTTAATTGATTATCATCATTTATATTTTCAACCCTAAACCTAAAAAAAGTATTTAGGACGATGTGGAAAATGATTGTCAATGGAAACAACAACCCTTAAGAGAAAAAATGTCTTCTATTTTTTCTCTCTTTCTTTCTCTCTTATTGAATTAGGCTCTTTGTGAGTCTAAATTATCATCCCCCCAAGGCCCCCACTGCACGGAACCCCCCATCACCAATTGATTATTTTCTTTCTTTCGACGTGAGAAAAAATGATGACGATGAAAGCAATGATTACGTGAGAATTATAATCGTTTGCGAACGATTGAATTTGTTTCTTCGTATTATTTTGCTTGTAGATTTTGTTTATCATCATCTTCTTCTTATTCTTCTTCTTCTACCTTTTTTGTAATTATTATTAATATTATTATTATTGTTGTAGTTCTTGTTTAGTGTTTTGACATGTAAAAGGTAAAAACAATTGACGTATTAACGCGAAATCATTTGATTTCGTTTTTAAAATCATCATTTGCTTTTTTGTATTATATTTTACTTTGTATTTCAAACGAAAACTTTTATTCGATTTGATTCGTGTTCAAAGAAGAGAAGCGGCTACACGACACAAGCTCAGCTTCAGCTTATGCCATTTCGTTTGTTTTTCTATATTTTTCATACGTTTTTTTTCTTTTTCATTATAATTTTGAGCAAAGCTTCTTTTTTTTTTTCTTTCTTTTTTTTTTACTTTTCATAATCGCTTACAAATGTGTTCTATTTTTCAAACGATTCACGCTTATGCTTATTCTACGACGTTTCTCGTCAAACTTCCGAGTGATATGAATTTTTTATTATGTTATATGTTTTTATTATGTTTTATTTATTTTAATTATAATATTTCGTTTGAAAGAAATTGACTCGAACGTATTTGAAGATTAACGTCGATTGTCTCTCGTCCTTATGTGTGTGCTTCCTATTTTTGTTTTAATTGTTATTATTATTGATTATATCGATCAAGCATCCGCCATATTGAAAAG